TTTGTTTAGCTAGTTGAGGAAGATTTTTATACTTGGAACTCCTTAAAGTAGTTTTGGAGAAAAAAAAACTGGTCTTTTCCTCTTCCACACAGGCTCTTTTTCAGCAAATACTATGCAGCATCCATTAGAAGCTTTTCTATTATTTTACATAGAACTAAGAAGAAAAAACGCTGCTAATTAAACTATGACACACCATTAGCTATCAGATGCATCCCAGTTTCAGAGTTATCAGAATGTAAAAAAAAATGTGTGTCTTAGAGTCAGTGGACTGAGGTATTCCATTCTAATAATGGGGAATGTGCACACAGAGCCTCTCTCGCTTACTCAGTTGGTGGCTGGTTTTCCCCTTCCTTTTCACTGCCAAAAGCTTACCTGTTCCTTCCATATCTCATTTCTCCATGTCATCATGAACCTGTTGATATTAATTCAGACTGTCTGCCACGAGTCTCCAGAAAGCCTTGCACTTAAACGAAGGTTCCAGTCTAGCTTTTTTTTTTTAATTAAAGAGCTATACTACATGGTCTCATTATGAACATCCTCCAATGATTGTCAACAAATTCCTTCCAGAGTCTGGCCTAACTCTCGTCTTCCCGTAGTACCTGGTGATTCACTGCCTTCCCTGTTCACCATTTCGCACAGTAGTTGGTTGGTTAGCCTGTCTACTATTTATTCGCAAGGGATTTCCCTACAGGCTGTTGGATAGGGCTTGGGAGGGGGCTTGTGAGCAGAAGCTGAGGCATGTCATCCAGATCTCTTACCACAGGAAACACGACCCCCCAGGCATCTTCTGAAACGCCAGGGCCTTCCTTTTCTCCATTCCAGGAGTCCGCAGGATTGGGGAAAGATCCAGCATCTCCACTCCTCTTAGATATTACTTCCCCTCCCTGGTTTGAGACTTTATGAGAAGAGTGGTGATGGGTGGTGGGATCTGGTACTGTAAGGATGCTAGGGACCTGAGCAATGGCGCACTGATGAGCTGGTTTTCAGGCTCCTGACAGCAACAGCAACTGGCTTTTCTGAGTTGGTGTTTTGCTTCCGCCTTTGAGTGCAGGGTGGTAAAGGAGGCATTGATGCTGGTTTTCCATTTCCTAGCATTAGAACAGGGTCAGACCCACCCAGGAAAAGAATTTCCCCAACCCCTTCCCTTCAAGCTGATTTTGAGGTCAGAATCCAGAAAGAGACAGAGGCTGGTTGAGCACAAGGTTGGAGGGATGGAGGCAGCCCATGCTAAGTGCCAAGGGACCACTCTGGGGATCCTTTTTGATGAAAATTCTGGGGCCTTTGCAGATGGGTGGGCGGGCCTATTCCTGCCCCAGGATTCTGGGCATATGACAGGCGGGGAGGCTGGGGCAGAGGCTGGGGTCCACATGGGTCTGTCTGCCAGTGGAACTGCAGAGTCCTGTGGCAGGCACAGACAGAGAGAAACAAGGGTAGAGGCTGGGCAGGGAGGCCTAGGAGCTGAGCAGGCCTCCCTTTCTGAGGCAGGAAGAACCGGCTGGCTCCATGCAGTACACTCCCCGGTCTCCATTTCCTAGACCAGGGCAGGTATCGAACTTCCTCTTCAGCTCTCTAGGATCTCAAGGAGCTGCCGCGGAATCCTGGCCGTGGGCCGCAGTTTCCCCAGGAGGCTCTGCCAAGCCTGGCACCTTCCAGCCCGGCCTGGGCTCGGTCAAGGCCTGAGCCGGACTCGGCCCCGACTCAGGCCGACCCAGCACCTCCCCGCCGCCGCCGCCGCCCCGCGCCAGGCCACCAGGCTTCCTCCCTGGTCCTCACCCCTGACCTCCGCGGCCGACTCCGAGGCGCGCCGGGCCGGGTCCAGCGCCCGCGGCCCCCTCGGCCAGACAAGGAGGGCAGGTGAGCAGAGGGGCCGCGCCCAGACCAGGCCGTCCCCAGGTCGCCCAGAGCGTGCCCGGGCCTAGAGGTGCGAGGCCGCGTGGTGGGCATGGTTGGGAAGCAGAGCGTGGGCCTGGGAGGCGCGTGTGCGCCTCGACCTCGGGATCCGGGCTCACAAATGAACGGCGCGTACGGCTGGGAGCTGGGCTTGGGGAGCCGGGCTCTGCGGGCCGGGAGCCCGCGGCCGTGTGTCGGTGGAGGCTCCTGCCTGGAATCTGGCGCCTGCAGGCGGAGGCCCGGCCCGGCCGAGGAGCGCCCCATTCTTCTGGCACGGCGGGGCCGGGCGAGCCCTTTTGGTTGTCGAGCCAAAGCTGAGAGCCGCGCGGCCGCTGGTCCTCGCTTGCTGCCGGTCTAATCTAAACCATGCGGGGCTCCCAGCCCCTACCCAGGCCCTGGGGCCCGAGGGCCAACGGGAGGGCACTGGGCCGCGCGGTGGAGGAGCCAGCGGCTCTCGTAGGGCTCGGGGTCCCGGGGACCGCGACGCCGGGGAACCCTGGAGCCCCCCTCCCTGGGGAACAGCGGGCGCGGACTGATTGACGGCGGCGACGTCAGCGCGGAGTGGGGGGGGGGGCGGCCCCAGAGGGAGGGAGGGAGGGAAGGAGGGAGGAGGAGGAGGGAGCTGAGGCCCCAAAGTGCAGCCTAGGAGATCAAGGGCCCGCTCCAGAGCAGGGATGTGTCCAGCCCCGAGGGCACGGCGGGCAGCGGGACCCTGACCCAGCGCCACGGAGTCGGAGCCCCGGCCGGCCGGCCCGCGCTCCTCCGACCCGAGTCTGCAGGGGACCTCGGGCCGCTGTTGCCTCCGCATGCGGCACCGCAATTAGGGTGAGTGTCGGTTCCAGCCGAGTGGGGACGAGCTGGGAGTGCGGGGCTGGGGCCACAGGGGTTCAGGGTTAGGCTGCAGGGTCGGGGAGGATGAACTGGAAAGGGGTGAGTAACGCGACCCGGGGAAGAACTTCAGGGGCGGTCAAGGTTGCGGGAAGGCGGCGCGAAGTGCCTTCGTTCGTGTTGCCACCTCGGCCCGACACCTAGTAGTTGGGGCAGAAGCCCTTCTCTCTGAGTAACGCGAGGAATTGGGTCTAGGGACCCAAGAGCCTAGAAACGGTAGCGCCAGCACCCTAAGAACAGGGCTAAGCCGTGACAGGCGGAGCGGTGCCCTGGAAATTGGTGTTTGCAGAATGAATATGCAAGGCCAGGAAAGAGGGCCGGGTACTGAAGCGAAAATCCATGTAGAAATGTGAGTGATCAGAACATTGGACTCAGAGCCTTTGATGGAACAAGATAGTCAAAATTAAAACAAGGAGCATTATATATAAATAATGGTCGATGATTAAAGATTATGAGAATGTGAGCAATTACGAAAGAAAGGGCTAATGGCATAACTGATATAACACGTAAACTTTCAAATAATAAAATCATAGTCACTTTCAGAATCAACTGAAAATAGTAATCACAGTTTTAAAAGGATTAAAGACAAAGTAATTCTAAATCGAGGAACAATTTAAGGACTGTTGTATTAAAACCAATAGCATTAATACAACACACAGTAATAGTGTAACATTACTGAACTGTAGGAAACTAAGAAACTATAGGAGAAAGATGAACAATGAAAATACTATTAAGGGAATACTATTAGTGATAGAATAATATAATGTATTATTGATACTATAGTGAACTATTTAAACAAGTATTAACTAAAATCTTAGGAGCAATAGTAATATAAATAAAGGCATATTAACGAGAATTGCTGGAGTAATCTGACAATTTATGACCAATGTATGAATAGTCACAAGAACATTATAAATAATGGTTGATTAATAAGAAGTATTGTACCAATGTGATGAAAATAATCAGAGTATTAAGAGCTACAGCAGTATTACAAAGTATGGCAAAATAACAAGGGGTAATGATGTGATGAAAAATAACCAGCAAATTAAGATCTGTAACATTACAAATAATTACAAAGTAACAAGCTATTGTCAGGGTGTGTGGAAAATAATACCTGGAGCGTTATGAGCAAGCGTAACAAAACATATTGTGGTTAGATACAAGAAGTATTATAAAGATGTGGAGAAAATTAACATGAATTTCGAGAGCAATTATATGACAAGTTACAGTAAACAAGAAGTTATTGAAACAGCGTGACAAAGTATAAACCAAATGAAGAGCAAGCAACAGAAACGTATTAGGGATACAACGCAAAAATAAAAGTTAATAATAGATTAACCGTGACCTATTGGAACACTATGTCACCTCGATATTGGTGATAGTATTATAAATGTGCCAGGCGGCCCTGAAATGATAGAGCAGTGACAGGAAAACAACAAATGTAATAACGGTAAACTAACGAATCAAACGAGAGCTTTAACCACGCAGTATTAGAGACACAAAGTAATCATAATCCACGCGGTAGGATATTCTCAACGTTCCCAAACTGACCAAAATACTACTCTGATAATAAGGACAATTAAAATATTTTAAAACAGTATGAAGTAATAACAATTCCCCCAGTGCAAGATACATATCACCAGTAACCTAACAGTGAAAAGAAAAAGCCCTTTCTCTTTGCAAAACGAGGCAGCTGAAAGCAATGGACCCCATCGCAAAGGGAGCGGAGGCTGCGGGCCGCGCCCGCTGCGGAGTGGACGTGAAGGATGAGCGCTGAGCCCTGCCCAGGCTAAGTGCGGGATCCCGCGGTGCCAACGTCCGAGCGCGTCCAAGCTCGAGGTCTGAGAGGACCGCGGGGACGGCCGCAGGGCTGGAAAAAAAAAGGAAATTGATGGGGAGCTTCGGAGGGGGCAAGCTGTGGCGAGGTTATGAAGTGGCTTCGTGGCCGAGAGAAAAGGAAGAGGCAAACCCGGAGCCCGGGAAAGAGCACCGCGCAGGCCTCGTCCCCAGTCCGAGCTGCGGGACCTGCGTCGGTGGACAGGGGCGGTGAAGGAGCTCCTCACGGGGCAGGACCGAGCACGTAGGACTGAGAGCGCAGGGCACGAGCCGCAGAGCTCCGCTGCACCTCTCCGGGTGTGACGAGAGCTCCATAGAGGACCCCGTGGCCATGCGAGCCATGCGCGAGACGCCTCCTCCTTGCATCCCGCAAGCCGCCACACGTGGGACCAGCCGATCGATCGGTCGTTAGCGCCGATCCCGCCGGGGCCCCAGACATAGTCGGACCCAGCGCGCTGGCCCGGGCGGGCAGCTACCCCACTAAGGCAGCGGTCCCCTGTGCAGGGACTCCTGCGTTTCAGAGGCTCGGCGCCCCCGCTGACACGTGCGGGAGGCGGGTGCTGATGCTGGCCACGTCCAGCGTGTCTCACTCCCTGTGGCTGTAGCCGAATACCGGCCAGCCTGTCAGCCTTATCTTTATGGGTTTTTCCCAACCCGGACTGGCCCCGGCCCCTTTTTATCTCCTCGGTTGCACTTGGCTTGTTTACTTTGCGAGGCCCTGGGAGTCGAAGTCTAGGCCGGGGATGAGGAGGCCTCGGAACAGAATGGGCGAGAGGCCTGAGCCCGGGGATGCTCCCAGAGGGCCCGGGGAGAACGGAAAGAAGGTAGGAGGAGAAAGGCAGAAAGGCGGAGCATTCGGCCCCAAGATGGGCCCTCAGACCTGTAGAAAGCCGCACTGGAGCGCCCAGGTCCAGCAGGATGGGGGAGAGCGGAGAGGTGGAAAGAAGCAGCGGAGGGAGCGGCGCACACCCCTAAGGGATGCGGGCAGGCTGGGCTCTCATCCGGATGCCCAGGACCTGCTTCGGGCAGGGAGCAGACACCTGGGTAGGGGAGTGAATCGGCTAAGGCACCCGGGAGAAATGTAGCTGTGCCAGGCAGGGCTAAGTGGTTCCTGTGAATGGGCCCAGCCTACCCGCTGGGCCTGGTCCTTGGCTGGGAAGGGTGTGGGTCTTTAGGCCCAAAGCAGAGGCCTGTGGCGCTAAAGTGTGCCTGAGTGAGCTTGTGGTGAGAACGCCAGCGCCAGGCAGGGAGGCCCTGGCCAAGGGCAGGGCCTGAATCAGTCACCCAGGAGAGTGTGGCTGCTCAGGCGAATGGGATGCTGTGTGAGAGGCTGTGCTTGGGTGTGAGGATGTCTGTGCTAGAATGGGAAGAGAGTGTCTGTGGACGGCGAGTGTGCTGGAGTGAAACCTTTGGTTCAGGAAGTCTCTGCCTCAGTGCTGTCCCAGAGATTGGGTGAGGGCAGATGGGTGAGGTGAGCCTGAGGGGCCGCCCAGCCCAAGGCCCTCTCTGCACACAGGTAGGGAGCTGCAGACGCCTGGCTCTCCTTTCCTACATGGCCAGAAAGTGTCCTGGCTGTCCTGGGGCCCACAGAGAGGGCTGGACCCTGGTTATTGGGGAACAGCCGAGAAGACCCAGGCCTCAGGCTCCACCTGAGCTCAGTAGGAGGGAGGGACTCGGGGTGCAGCTGGGGCAATGCCGAGAGGGCGGTCCTTCCTCCAGACCTACTCACCACAGAACCCCACACCCAGGGGCAGGCAAACACTGAACTGGCGCAGACCCTCCCAGGTCCACAGCCCTAAGGGAGGAGGCGAGGGACCTGCCCTCCATGCAGGCTCCCTCCTCCAGCTCAGGAGGGGGCGGGGTCCACGTGTGCCGGGGCAGCCTCTGCGCCCCGCACGAAGCCCCTGGAACGGCTGGAGAGGGCCACGGGGCCTCTGGCGAGCGTGGACCTGAGCGAGTGACTCGTTGTGTGCTGTACCCGCAGGAGATGCTGCAGGATAAAGGCCTGTCCGAGAGCGAGGAGGCCTTCCGGGCCCCGGGCCCAGCGCTCGGCGAGGCCAGCGCCGCCAACGTCCCCGAGCCCGCGCTGGCAGCACCGGGTCTCAGCGGAGCCGCGCTAGGCAGCCCCCCGGGCCCCGGGGCCGACGTCGCCGCCGCCACCGCGGAGCAGGTAGGGCTGCGCCAGCCGTCGGATAAAAGTCGGGCGTCGGTCTGCCTGCGGGGCAGCCTGTGTCGGTCATTCCGTCTGATTGTCGGCAGGACTCGCTTTGGGGGAACCTGTGTGGGTTCAGGACGGTCTGCCTATTCGTTCTCCACTGGGCAGGGCTCACTCTCTCTGCCTTCTGGGTCCATCTCCACTTTGAGCCCTTGGGGCTACTCTGGGACGAGCTAGAGCTAGAGATAGATGAGAGAGGGAGTAAGAGAGAGGGAGACCCCTGGAGACCCGGAGCACTGGAGCCAGCCAGGACCAAGTGTCCGGCCCCAACAACCCGGAAAGGGCCTGGGACCGAGCGGAGGGCAGGAGGAGGCGACCCCGCAGATGCGCATGGGAGCCGCTGCGGGGCTCCGAGGCCTCTGGGACATCGCCGAGGGACTTCACAGTGATAATCGGACGATCACAGCGCGCGGGATGCTGCGTGGGCATCTATGTGTACTATCTGCAGGCGCGAGCCTGGCCGAGGGTGCGTGCGCCTCTCCCTGCCTGTGTCTGCCCCACGAGCCTGTGGCGGTGGCCCGCCACGGAAATGTTCATGAGTGTGCAGGAGTGTCGTCTAACCTGCGCTGGCCACTATGTGTCCTCTGCGGGTCCCTCCGTAGGTGCACCTTCAAAGGAGGGTGTTTTAGCCACCGGTTAGTTCTTTTAAATTCACGAATAGTTCAAAATCATTCAGTGAAACGAAATCTGGAGGCGTGGGCTCCGGGCGGGTAGGGTTCCGCACAGCTTTTCGGGTCTGGTTCTTCTTTCCTCAGGCTCCGCGTGGAGCCCTGGGCCAGGCAGACACGAGTCCCTCTCCCTCCCATCCCCAGACCATCGAGAACATCAAGGTGGGGCTGCATGAGAAGGAGCTCTGGAAGAAGTTCCACGAGGCGGGCACCGAGATGATCATCACCAAGGCGGGCAGGTCAGCGCTGGGAGATTTACTTCCGGTGATGGCGGTGGGGAGCAGTGGGGGCCGGGGGTCCCTTAGAAATCCTCTTGGGCCCGGCCTGGTGGCCTTTTAGAGTCCTCTCTGCGTCCTCCGGCCTCAGTGCCACCTCCCTCCGCAGCTGGGGACTGGGCCGCCAAAGCCCACAGGGGGCCACCGCAGCCGCTCGGGCCTGGCGGTGGAAGACCAAGGGGAGGGGCAGCGCTATGCAAATGAATGCGAACAGGGATCACGAAGCCCAAAGTCTCAGTTCCAGCACTTTGGCCCTCTGGAGGACTGCTTTGTCCTCTCTTCGAGGACCTGCGAAGGTTTCTCGGGAATGCATTGACTGGGGACCCTGAGATGCCTCTCAGTAGATGGGAAGAGGAAACTGGACTTTGCTGTTCAGTATTCATACATTTTCGTGAGTGACTAGAACCCCAAGCTTGTCATCTCAGGGGCGCAGCTCTTCCGTTTCCATCCCCATCTCCGGCCAAAGGGAAAGCACCACGTTGGGCTCCCTGTGTGCTGCTGGGAGAGCGGCTCTCGGTGGCTGCCAGAGAAGGATGATTTATAAAGTGGAAACATCTTTAAAATGCGCTGGTGTCTGTGGGAGAGAACAGGGAGGAGAGGATGAGAGGAGGCATATTCACAGGCAGGGGAGTGAGAGATTCAGTGGGGCTGGTGTCTGGGGTGGGGGCAGGAGTGTGGAGGAGAGCAGTTGTCAGGTGAAGGTGGATTGCTGTGGACAGAGACACTGGCAAGTTCAGGTTCAGGAACTCCCTCCCCGCCCACTCTGCCCCTTCCACATACATACCTGATTTCGGTCCCTGGGGACAGATTAGGTGTGAAAATGTCCCTTTGCCCGGATGTGTCTCATAATTGGGATTTTGAAGGAATAAGATGATGAAACCTCAAGGGCCAGGAGTTCGGAGCCAGACCCTGGCCGGTGGGGGGTCCAGTTCCAACGCAGCTACTTTCATCTGTGCAACCTCAGACAAGGTACTAACGAGTCTCTGCCCCCTCCCCACTCCATCTGTAAAAGAACAAATCTTGCCTCATACATTGTATGTAAAGCACTGAGTTCCTGTGACATGCAAGCACTCAAGAAGTGCTAGTGAATAATATGGGCAATAATTAGAGACGTGTCTGGCATCCTGCTCAGCATTTTCTTCCACGTTTTAGAGAACTTAGCTCTGCTGAACCGCTTAGGGAACGACAGACTATTCAAAGGAAACACAAAGGCAGTTGGTTTGCTGTGTGCAGTGCAGGGGTGCTGTGGTCCTTCCCGTCTCTGCTCACTGGCAGGCCTTATAAAGTTTTCTTTATTTTGTTGAGGGTAGCGTTCTGGGCGCTTGGCCACCCTCAGGTCTTAGCCAGGGAGGTGGCATCACCACTCAGGGCCTCTATCAGGGGAGGAAGTATGTTTACTTTAGTGCCTGAGCTTGCTGCATTTTGGGGATGGAGCTAGGGAAGGAGGATGCATTAGGGGGCTGGCAGAGGGTACCACATGGAGCTGTCATTGGGGACAGTGGAAGCCAGGTGTCACAAGGCCTGCCTCTTCCTGGCTGAGTGCACTTGGGCAAGTTACAGTCTCTTTGTAGCTCAGTGGTGTCAGGGAAATGGTGACTGAAGACCTATCTGCTGTCCTTTCCTTTTCTATTACTGTGAGACTCAAACCAGGGAATCATGTGGATGATGCTTGGTAAATGGGTAATCCACGGGGTCAAGTGTGAAGGGGAATGGGGATCATTCTCGTGCCTGCTGATGTGAAGAGAAGGTAAGAAGAAAGAGAAAGGTTCAGAACTTCCACTTTTAGGCAGCAGAAGTAACTTTGTCTCTTGAAAATAACTGGCCAGCGTGTTCTCTGTGCGTGCCTGGCCTCTGCCATTTTAAACAAAGGGCACGTTGTGGTTTTCCTCAATGGGGTTTCCTGCGTCTTCATGGGTCCTCCTCCTCCTCACCCAACACATACACTTATGCACACACTTCCAGAGGTGGCCAGCTTCAGGCAGATGTTTGTGCTTGATCTCAGTTGAGGCTTAGAGATGGACCTTAGGGAATGATAATACTTTTAAAATGTCTGTGATAATGTTGGCCAATTATGGAGCCATCACAGCCTTTCCCTCGTCTGTCAGAAAGTTGTCCTTGCACCGAGTCTAGTTCTTAAGAAAATCACTAGCCTCATGCCCCTAACCCCTCACCCCTCACAGATGCCCTTTCCACCTTCATTACCTGCCCCCACCTTCAGCAATCGCTTTATTGCTCTGATCTGCTTTACTCTGGCTGTGGTTCTTCAACATCCTGTCCAGTGGCGCTCTCCCTGCTCCCTAAATTCTGTGTGCCTCTACTGGAACCCTTCTTGGGACATTTCCATTTCTTAGTCTGGGCCTTTCTGCTAAACCTGGAATCATAGGTTCCTAGATGGCTAGAGCTGGAGGAGAACCAAGAGAACATAAACCAAACCCTAGAGAAGCAAAGTCAGTCAGTTGCCAGGTCCACACAGGCCAAACAGATGAGGCGCCCCACCTCCAGAACACAACTCCTACTTTGATAAGTTCCCTTGACAGCTTTTTTATGGGGTCCTATTCTGTGTGGACTGTGGTTCTGCTGTAGAGACCCTGGCTGATTAGGGACATGATAACTGCCACCTGGCTGGGCAGGAGCAGGTCCTGGAGAAGTGGACCCAGAAGTTCTCAAGCCAGTTTGGGTTCTTGGGTCACAGGCTTCCTTCCTACCTTAGCCCTTTGGGTCCTTGAGAGTCTTGAAGGTCAAGGGAGAGAATCCCTTTCACTGGATAGTGACTTTGAACTGACAATCAATTTGGGCGGGTGGATAAAATGTCAGTCGCCACGTGAGCCACCAGTTTCTGAATCCTCAGCAACCTCCATGTCAGGTGCAAAATGGGGACCACAGGCCGCTGCAGTCCATCTCAGCCTCTCAGGTCTCTGCGCCCAGAGGGTTCATGCTGATAACTGCAGACAGCAGATTCCTCTCTTGGCCTCCTCACATCCCTGCCAAGCTTGATCCATGTGAGAAATTGCATTTTCTCCCAAACATAGATAAAAGTGAGCGCCACAAAAAAATTAAATATAAACCTCCCCAAAATGAAAATTGCCTAACCGTCTCACTGCCCTTCTCCTAGGTCATGGTTTTGCCACCAGATAAATCTCCACTATCAGCCTTCATAGCCTGTTGAGTTCAATGTTGCTTGTGTTAGTGACAGTGAATTTGCGTTTGAAAAATGAACTACCGATGAGAACTCCTGTTGAACCTGTATTGTTTGTTATTCTGAGGCAAGGATTTGGCCCGGCTTAATCCGGGGCTTCAAAGCCAATTGCCCTCACTCTGTATACAGAGCGTCAGAGCCCAGTGGCGTGGATGATAAGAGAAGTAAGGGTTGAAGACACTGGGAAAGTGGGTTGGGGAGAGAGTGCTTTGATCTCTTTCTAAAGTATTTTCTGAAAGCAAAAGTCTATCAGAAGGAAGTGCCTTTAAAAAAATCTAAGAGAAGCAACTGATCTTCCAAAAAAACATCCATTCCACACACTCACCCCTCCCTCCCTCAGGGAAAATATTTCTTAAATATGCTTTGGGTGAATTAGAAAACTGTGTGTGTATGCCTCTGTGCATGTGTGCGAAACGTGGAAATTGGTTTAATAGCTTCAAAATCAGAACTCATTTGGCTACAAAAGGCTCGGTCTCAGTGTAGGTGGCACCAGCAGTCCCACTTCTAACCCCAGCCTTGGATGTTGGGCCCGGACCTCTTCCCAGCACACCCAGGATTCCTCCTGAAGACACCCCGATTTCCCCCAACATCAGGAGAAACAAAGAGTTTTCAGGGGATCCCTGCCGTTTTCCTGTTGTTGGTTCTTTTCAGGCTCTGGGATCCAAAAATTAAATATGTGTACACATATATACACATGGGAGGGTGGTGTACACACACATACATAATTTTTAACCTAAATGTATTGCAGTGGAACATTCCTACAGAAGAGCCCACACATCTTAAGAGTGCAGCTTTACAGGCTTGCACAAAATGAACACACTCGTGTAACCTTCATCCAAATAAAGAAACAGATCATCACCACCACCGCCCCAGAATCTTTCCTGTGTGCCTGCCGGTCAGTGCCGTCTCCACCCTCCAAGCCGCTCTCTAGACTGCTGACCCCTTCTGGCTGGTGTTCCCCCTACACTGAGGGAGGATCCGTGTAGCTCTTCCTGGAGTCCCCAGGGACCTCCGAGAAAGGCAGAGCTGCGGTGGGGTTGGGGCTTGGGGGACCCTCCAGGTGGAGAGAATCTAGGGGTGCCCCCTAGTCTCTGTCCCTCTTCCCAGAAGGGGGCTGCGAGTAAGTCAGCGCCTTGAATTTGGCCACCGCTTTGGCCAGGGAGCTCCCGCGGGTCTCGAAGCACAGCTAGCTGGAACTGGCGTGTCCCCACTCAGCAGTGAGTTCGCAGTTACGGGTTTGTTGCCAGAATTAAAAAGCCCCAAACCCTTGCCCCGCGCCCGGCGCGCCTCCAACACCGAGAAACGTCCGAGGAAGCTTATCTTAGCAGTTCATTCTAAAGCCATTTCCGAGTATGAATAGATAAAGGCTCCAGCCCCGCACCCTTTCAGAGCCTGTTTCATGATCAGAGGAGAAGCCCCGGGCTTTCATCTCCTCCCGGGCCGGCGAACAGGCAGCTTGTTTATTCCCCTGGCGCAGCCGTTTCCGCGTCTGGGTTGGGGGGAGTCCCCGCCTGTCTGGGGGCACGGGAGCCCAACAGGGTGCGGGGAACTGGGGGAGCATGGAGAGGGTGCGTGGGGCGCAGAGAGAAGGCGAGGGGCACGTGGAAAAGGTGCCGAGGGGCTGGGGAGAGGGAGGGGCCGGAGGACTAGGTGGGAGCCGGGAGAGAGTGGGGGGCGCAGGGAGAAGGTACAGGGAGGGGAGCAAGGGAGAGCGCACCGGGGGAGGGTTCGCTGGGGCGGGCCCAGAGGTAGACTGCTGAGTGCCAGGACAGGCAGGCTTCACCGGACAGCGACAGCGCTGGTGGCAGGGCCTGCGTGGATACAGAGGCACTCGCAGTGCCTTCCTTCTTGGTCACCCCTCCCACCCCAACACACACATGCAGGAGGCGTTGCTTTCCACCTTAGGGTGTTGGTTTTTGGGAACCTTCTATGTCATAAGTAACAGAAAAAATTTACATCTCACTCCATCATTTCGAATTTTTCATTAGAGAGGCAGAGCCCAGAGGAAGTCACAGCTCCCAAACCCAGCCTGGCCTCTGCCGCCTGAGGCACACAACGCTGGTGAACACCCCCAAGTCAGGCGTCTAGGCACCAACTTTAGTATCTTCAGGAACCCAAGAGCATATGCCCATGGGGCCTTGAATTCTCCCCTCGACCAGGGCAGGAGGCTGATGGAGGTGGGAAAGGGGGCCTCACCTTCACAGGCAGCCCTTCCCCAACCCTGAGTGGACTCTTCCCCTCTTCTGGAGTCACCTAGGCAGGGAAACAATGGTGACTAGGGCCCCCCACCCCACCCCAGAGGGTCATGTGCATGGCTCAGAAGCAGTTTCCAAACCGGACCCAATCAAGACCTAGACATCTGTTCCATTGAAGGCAATGGACCTCCCTGAGCCAGTTCAGCCTGAGCAGAGGGTATTTGAATTCCCCATTTAGACCAGACATCCCACCATCCCTCGATGCTGCTCTAGGTAGAATGGAATTGGTGGGCAGGGGAGGCGAGGCTGAGAGATACTCACCTTCCCTGTGCCATTGCTCACATCTCCCTGAGGCTGTTATCAGCCAGGAATCTGGCCTATGATCAGTTTCCAAGAGGGACCAGGTCCCAAGACACCAGGGGGGGACGCAGAGCACTGGCTCCTCAAAGGCCTTCCAGAAAGCACTTAGTCAGTGTCAGCCTGGCCTCCTGGGCTGCAGAGATGAAGCCCAGCAGCGAGAAAGAGAAGGGGAAGCCCAGGGCCCCTTAGCCTCCTCTCAGCCTAGGCTATGACGCCTGCCGAAGTGGCAGTGAGCCCTCTGCTCCTGGGCCCCTGTGTGGACACCAGCCCTGGAGGGAAACCTTGGCTGCACTCTGCTGTTGCCACCTGGAATGATTACAGGAGACAAGCTGAGTGCAGGCCCCCAGTGCCAGGCCAGCCCAAGCATGGCCAGGGCTGCCCCATTTTGTGGCTGTTTCTGTGGCAGTTACAAAATGGTGGCCTGGAGGGGGCAGGATTCTTGGCCTTCCCCCAGGGAAGGGGGAGGCGAGGCAGCTGCTGCCCTTCCTGCTTCAGCTGTAGGCCCACCAGGAGAGAGGCAAGGCCAGCAAAGGGTGGTGCAGGCTCCAGCTGCGCCCCCAGGCCCCATAGAAGAGCTGGTAAGCAGGAGGCAAGGTTGGGTTCCTGAGCCCTTTACTTCCCCCACTCCTGGAGAGGGGGCGGGGTGGACATTTGAAAATGCTTTCAATTGACATCTGAGACAAATTCTTCCACACGGTTTATAAGTCCCTAGACTTGCAGCTAGAACTTCCCTCCTCCCTCCAGGCACGCACACATCCACACATGCGCACTTGCACACCACTCACATGCACCCGGTCACACCGCCCCCCATCCCCACATCCCTGGCCTACAATGCTTGCACAGGCCTCTCCTCCAGCAATAGGGGGGCACAGGCGGGGCTGGTGTGGAAGTGAACCCTCCACCTCGGTCAGGGTCCTGGCCTGGGCTTAGAACCTGCCAGCTTATAGAGGCTTTGACCCTTTCCAGAAGCCCTGTCCTGTCCAGGTGCACCTGGTGACAAACTAGGGGCCTCTGATCATCTGTTTTTGGTGTCTTGGACAGCTTTTCCTGGAGCCCACACTGTCTTGGGTTAGTGAGAGGCAGAGAACCACCTGATGGTTTCCCCAGAGTGGACCTGCTGGGCAGCGCACAGCATAGCTCAGGGGGGCTTAGTGTCTTCACGAAGTGTGTTCAGCTAGGTTTGGATCCTGTTTCTCTTGGGGGACACCTTTGTGGAAAATCAGCTGGAGGTGGGAGATGGTGTCTGAGGAGGACAGTGAGAAGTTCTGTTCTTCCCTCTGGTGAAGTCAGGGACCTGCTGACCAGGGGAGGGAGCAGTGCGGGTTTGTGTACCTGCCTTGCTGTTGTGTGTGTGTTTGTGCTGAGGGGTGTGGGGAAGCCCCCCTCTAGAATGTGCCCTCAACCTCAGGGCCCTGGACAGCCTCAGCATGGGCTGCAGGAAACGGCAAACTTCCTGGGTTTTGGTGAATCCAGTTTCGTAGTAGGTCATACCACTTCTCCGTTTACTTTGCTGAGGGTGGAGTGCAGCAGGGGTCTGTGCTCATTCACACAGCAATCTTTGAGATAGGTGGTCATGCTATCCTCGTTTTAAAGATAAGGAAACCAAGGCACAGAGAGGTTCAAGCAAGTCACCTAAGGCACAGAGAGGTTCAAGCAAGTCACCTAAGGCTTGTCAGTGGGAGGCCAGGCTGTGGACCATGGCAGGTGGCTTCAGAATCTATGCCCTCTCTTATCCATGAGGCTCCTGGACCGACTTTCCCCTGATACTCAGGGTGCACAGGTCCAGGTATTCGCAGGGAAAAACTCCCCTGCTGGACACACCGGAATAGCCCAAGCCTAGCAGCGTTTTGACAGCAGTCTCCCGTTTTCTTGTGGGTTGGTTTAAGGCCTAAGGGTTTCCACAGAGGCCTGACCCAGAGGAGGCAGCTCATTGTTTATGGAAGCAGTTGATGGGGGCTTCCAGCCCCCTATATTTGCACCCCAGAACTTCAGTTGTGTCTGGGCTGGCAAAGGACAGGAGGAAAATTAAGGCAGCCAGGTTGGCATCAGAACCTGCTCCCGCAATCCTGACTGGGGTCTCTGTGCTTCAGCTGCTCAAGGCACTAGCCCCAAGTCTCAGGGGATTATGGGGGAGACAATAAGTGAATTTGGGAAATGGTGTAAATTCTCCTCCTGGACACAGACTGATAGCTGCAAGGTTCAGAGACAGCAGCCAGTGACACCTGTTCCCTGGGCAGTGCAGACAGAGGGGGAAGTGAGTTGTGCAGGTCATACAGCTGTGACCAATGCCAGGATCCTGGCCAAAAGGGCAGTATCTCTCGGTGACCTTCTGCCCCTTGTTCACTCTGTTCCATCTCTCCTGGTGTTCTGTCGACGCTCCGCCTCACCCCTTGGCTCCCCAAGGAGGATGTTCCCCAGCTACAAGGTGAAAGTCACGGGCATGAACCCCAAGACTAAGTACATCCTGCTGATTGACATCGTCCCCGCCGATGACCATCGCTACAAATTCTGTGACAACAAATGGTAAGTGGACCATCCCCATGTTGCCCACCTTCCCTCATCCACCCGCTGGCCGCAGGCCCCCACCTGGTGTTTGGTCCGGGGAATTTCCTGGCTACCTGAGTGACTGCCCAGATCTGCAGGCTGGAGCCCACTGCCCGGAACTGGCCGTACTGAGGCTGAGGTGGTCAGGAATGTCTGCACGCCTGCTGCAGCTGGGGTTGGGCTGAAAACCAGCTGCATGTTTGGGAGTTCGGTGGATTGCAAGGGTCTCTACTCTCCTCATGGCCATGGACTGTCCGGTGACAGACAAATCATGAACACTGGCCAGATTTAGACTCTGTCAGTGCTTCACTGTGGGGAAGCTGGGAGCAGTTCTCTTGAGGACATTAGGAACAGGGCCATTACCTGGTGTCTGTTGCTCCATGTCCTCCTTGGCCTCAGGCCTCTCCAGCCATCGACTAAGTGAAGCTCTGCCAGGGGGCTGGTGGATAGGACACTTTGGCGAGAGGCTGAGAGACAGAGAGGTGAAGGGACAAAACCAAACTAGGGCCAGGTCAATAAATTCTGGGCTACCTTTCGTGAGGCCAACTCCTTAGTCTCTGACTGGCCGGGAGCTTGGAACAGTGCTCCAGGATGCTGGGCTCCGTGGCAGGCGGGCCACAGAGCTGGAGAGATTTGGCTAAGGAGGCAAGGTTTGGTGGCCATGTCCTGGCAAGGGCCATGCTTCTGTTTCTTCTCTCTCTGGGCTAGATTAGAATTCAGAGCAGACTCTGGCTGAGGGGAGAGCTACCAATTAATTTCTTACCATTGTTTTGGGGACAAGCCATTTGGGAGTTGTCTAGATCCTCTGAGAAGCTCCCTCTACATAATATAATTTATAACATGTGACAATCATAATCATACCAGGTGTGGTGGCTCATGTCTGTAATCCCAGCTACTCTGGAGGCAGAGGCACGAGGATGGCTTGAAGGTCAGGAGTTTGAGACCAGCCTAGACAATACAGTGAGATCTCTGTGTCTATAAAACATAGAAAAAGTTAACTGCGCATGCTACTTGGGAGGCTGAGGCAGAAGGATTGCTTGAACCCAGGAACTGGAGGCTGCAGGGAGCTATGATCATACCAGTAGCATGGGTGACAGAGTGAGAACCTATCTCTTAAAAGGAAAAAATTTTTTTAATCATGAGTGTAAATTTACACAGAAGTGCCTAAATCTCCCCACATTATCTTTGTGATTAGCCCCAGTCCTTTGAATAAATGACCCCATTTCCCTGTAACCTCCTTTTTTCTTCTACTGCAGTAAAATAAAGGAGATTCTGGACTGCTCTCTCTTTCTCAGCACCTCTCCTCTGTCCCTCATTCCGACCCCTGAAGTCCTAATTTGACAATGTGGTGGGACCAGCAGCTATTTTTTTCTCTGGTCAATGAGAGTTTGCTCCAAGAGGGGACAGGGAACCTGGCCTCACCAGCCCCCGGGGTAATTGCCAGCTCTTATCTGTTCTGTTGGCAGGATGGTGGCAGGGAAGGCTGAGCCGGCCATGCCAGGAAGGCTGTATGTCCACCCAGATTCTCCTGCCACGGGGGCCCACTGGATGCGGCAGCTGGTCTCCTTCCAGAAGCTGAAGCTGACAAACAACCACCTGGACCCCTTTGGCCATGTAAGGATGGGGGCTTCCTAGCCTCGGGAGGCAAGTCTGGGGCAGTATTAGGGATAAGACAGGCCAGGTTGGGGATGGGGAGAATCTACTCTGGGATCCAGCTCCAGGCTTTGGCACTCGCTGACCAGTTTAGGGAAGGAGCTCAAGCCTCTGAGTCCAGCAGAGAGCTGGACTTCCCGGCCATTTACTGGCTGGGTAACTCTGGGCAATTGTCTCAGCCTTTTTGAACCCCACTTTCCTTGTCTAGAAAATGGAGATGACCATATTTAGCACCTTTCACGTTGTGAGACTTAAACGAGAGGGTATACAGGAAGCACTTTGCAGACTGGAGGTGCTAAATAAATGGCAGCTATGACGATAACGGTGACGGGCTACATCTCAGCTGCAGTTCCCCAAATCTGGCCTTGCTGGAACATAACACAAGACGAGTAAGCCTTTCTGAGCAAGAGTCACCGATGCATTCCAAAGCCCCTCTGTGGCGTGCACCATCTCCCTGGCCTGACAGCCGCCTGCTTCTGGAAGGAAAGGTCTTGCCCTGGCTCCGGTGTTAGCTCCTGCTGGGTCTGGCCTGGCCCTCACAGAAGAGGTTCTGAAGCCCCGAGGATGCTGCTGACGCCCCATCCAGGCTGCCCAAGCTCATTCTTTCCCCATCTGGCCCTGGCAAGGCCACAAAAAAGAGATTTTTATGTGGAAATTTTTAGCTCAAGTGTGTGGCAAACAGAAGTCTGGCAACCTGGTACTATCTGCCAGGGCACAGGCCCCGCCCCTCAAGACTGCCCGTGGTTACTGGGGCTTGCAGGGTAGGGGCAGTGGAGGCCGCAGAGATGCAGGCATGGCTGGTGGGGTTACGGGATGCACAGGTATATCTCGCTTTTAGGCCTCAGCTCTAGTTCTGGGCAGCTGTGTGCTGTCAGGATACCTGAATCATAGTTCCTTATGGAAAACTCCAGCCATCCTTCTTTTCTGATTGATGGGTATGTAACTGGCAATGAGCTTCTAGTTTTATTTTCTCAGAATCTGTTCAGTTCTTTTCTGAGTCCTTGGTGAGCTGTAAACAAGCAGCTGGGAGCATGCTTCATTAACGCCATCAACTCCTGCCTTATCTTATCTGGTTTGTGATTCCCTATACTGGGTTTCCCATACAGAGCAGGCCCATGCCCAAAGGGGAGGATCAGCCAAGATCCTGCCTCCCTGAGCCCCAGGGCGTTTCAGCTGAGAGGCAGAGGGGCTTCCTGGGTCTCCCTGGGCCCCATCCTGGTCAAGACTTCATTCCCAGTCAACTCCTACCTGACTTCCTGTGCTTGGCCAAGCTGTGGCACCAACTCAAAAGGGTAGGGAGGGCCTCTGGGTTGGGAGGCTAGGGAACCTGGCCGATGACTGCACACACACGCAGACCCCATGGGGGGTGAATACAGAGCTGCATCTTTAGGTGGCCATTAGTCCCTAGGGACCCAAGCCTGGAGAGGATTTTGGATGTGGCAGCTTGTTGTCAGGCTCCCAGCTCCAGGGATGCCTCAGAGGACCTCTAGAAAGTGAGAGGGGAGGGAGGGAGTCAAGGGATGGAAAGCTGGGCCTTCTTTAGGAAGTGGGAGAGAGCGCTCTGGCCTTCGCAGCCCAGCAGTAGCTCTTCCCAGCCTGGCTAACCTCTTCAGTGTCTCTCCGTGGGTCTGTGAGTTATTTGTGATAACTGCATAGAAGTCAGGGCCACTGAGGATGCTTGACGGGCTTGTGATGCCCCTGGCTGCACCCCTCATGCCTGCCTGGGGCTTCCCTTGCCTTGGCAATAGGGATACTCCCCACGAGAACTCAGCTTTCTCCCTGGACAAGTGGGATGTGGAGCATCTTCCTTCTCCCTTTATCCCTACACTTACCCAGTTACTTGCAGCTTATTGGCTACAGCAGCCCTGTGGGTGTGGCAGGGCCCAGGTACTGTCTCGGACCCCGGCCTTCTGCTTCCTGGCCCAGTGTTCTCTGGGCTTCTCCACTGCCTTTCTGTACCCAGGGCTCTATCGTCACCTATTTAGATATCATCAACCCTGAAGAGGGAGCAGCCCCTGGCCATTCAGACAAGGGCTGTGGAGGGACACATCGGGGCACAGCAGCCCATTGGGCTGACTTTCTTCTGGCCCTTGGCCCATGCCCGTAGGAGTGGTGAGCTCCCATCGAAAGGTGAAGGAGTTGCCCTTCTTGGCTTCTCAGTGCAGGAGCCTGGGGAAAAGCCATGTTATATTGGGAATTGCCCTTCCTTCTGCACAACCCACTTCCACGTTTTCAGTTTGCCCTGAAAGCTTCCAGACCTCAAGGCACTGTCTATCGCTGCAGGGATTTGGACTTTTCCTGGGGATCCTCATGCTATCCCAGGAGCTGGAGCAGCTGCCTCCTATCAGCAGCCCTCACCCCCGGCTCCTGCCCAAAGGGGCAGGCTCTCTCCTTATGAAGGGGCAAGTCGAGAGCCCATGAGAGTGGCTGTGGCATCATCTTGGGGCCCAACAGGTGGACTCAGTGTCCTCCTAGCTTGGAGATTCTCAGGCCCAAGCCACCCTATTTCCTCATCCCAGGAGATGAGCAGGGTGGCTGGGAGGCCATGTGTCTGTTCACTGGTGCATTAAGGCCTCAAAGAGCAGGAATCACCGACTGCCTGGAGTGAGGGTGTAGAACAGCCATGTTGGGATAATCCAGTTTTCCTGGTTTCCCTGTCTTTCAAGATTCCCTCCTTCCATGAATGCTACTCTGCCTTGAAGTCTGAGGACCTTAGGGTCCAGTTGACATGTTGGGCATGGTAGCCCGTCCTGTGTGGCAGATGGAGCCCTGGAACAAGAACCCCTCAGACCACATGGCCAGAACCTCCTGAAACACAGGACTGGGCTCTGATGAGAAACTCCTTGTGGGTTTTTGCTGTGGGATTAGGAAAGCCCTCACAGCAGAAACCCACAAGGAATTTTCCAGTCCCAACCTCGGAGGGCAGGCTCAGGAAAGCAGATTCAGAATCTGACCATCAGCACCCGGGAGTCAGCTCCAATCCCGAAGTTGGGGCAGGCCAGGATCAGAAAGGACCACAGGGCTGGGGCTGGATGCACTGCCTCCAGGTGGCCTGAATTCAGCTTTGCTTCTGCTGTTCTGCTGGCCACAAAGCTGCCTGCCCATTGTCCCCTCCAGCCTGCCACTCCCTCCCATGCCCAGCAGGGTCCTGTGCCAGGCAACATGAGATGAGAAGGGAAGCTGCTTCTCCCTCATTCCCCCTGCTCCCGCTTTCTTTCTCCTCTCTACTGATTAAGCTTCTAGCAATACCTGGACTTCAGGAAGTCGGGGAGGGTCTCCCTGGGGCATAGGTGGGACCTGTATCCTGCAGCAGGACTCGGAAATGGTGGCACATGGGTGTCCCAGATTGCTGAGGAGGGAGGGAGGGCCAGCTTATGACCTCTGACATAGTGAGTCCAACTGTTGGAAGGGCTGCATTAGCCCTGGGGCTACAGGTGTGGGCTGCAGATCCTCAGTCCCAAAGTGGCACACACTAGTCCCCTTAATATGCTATGTCCTCCTTTAGCCGCTGGGTTTCATAACTGTCCTAGGCCTGACTGCCCCTCCCTTAGGCCTGGGACTGTCTTCCCACCCTCTTCGCCTAAGTAGCTACTCCTGAGCTTCGAGATCCAAGCTCAAATGCCCCTTCTTCAGAGTTGGGGTCCTTATTCTATGCTGTCAGAGCACCATGCACCTTTTCATGCTGGTACTCACCAAAGTTATAATTTTATACCTATTTGCATCTTAAAATTTTATTTATGAATAGGAAATACTTTCGCATGCTTTAAACATAAATCATTGAATAAACTAAAATATCTCCAATATGACATCTCTCTTTACTTGTTCCTGATCCGCTGCTTCTTTCAAGCTCCGCTGCAGGAAACCATGGTTACCAATTTCTTTTCAGCTGTTTTTTGTTTGTTTGTTTGTTTGTTTGGGTTTTTGTTTTGTTTTGTTTTTTGCACATAGGCAGAATATGTAATCTGAAATCCCCTTTTACTCACAAAAGGTGGCATACTATAGAAACTTTTTTTGTATCTTGCTCTGTAAACAATAATCTCTCTTGGAGAATAGTCCATTCAGAGAGAGCTGCCTCATCCCTTTCACAGCTGCACACAATTATTATTATTATTTTTTTTTTTTAAAGATGGAGTTTCACTCTTGCTGCCCAGGCTGTAGTGCAATGGTGTAATCTCAGCTGATTCCAACCTCTATCTCCCAGGTTCAATGACTTCTCCTGCTTCAGACTCCTGAATAGCTGGGATTCCAGGCACCCACCACCACACCCCGATAATTTTTGTATTTTTTTTCTTTTTTAGTAGAGATGGGGTTTCACCGTGTTGGTCGGGCTGTTCTCCAACTCCTGACCTCAGGTGATCCACCCACCTCAGCCTCCCAAAGTGCGGGGATTACAGATGTGAGCCATTGTGCCTGGCCTGCAGCTGCATAGAATTTGATGATTGTTTCAGAAATCACGTAGCCAGTTCTTCTTTGAAGGAATTAGATGTTTTCTTATTCTTTGTTCTTCTGATTAAGCTTGTACACATGCCATTTTACGCTGTGACAAGTCTACCTGTGTCACAAATGGTGTGTTCAGATGGTACTTGGATTTATAACTTTGAAAATATTACCAAATTACCCTCCATGGGAGCTGTACTGATGTACATATTTCCACCACTGCTACAGCCTTACCAGGAAGGGTGGGAGAGCAAACTTGTGGCTTTTTGTCAGTTTGACAGATGAAAAGTGGATATCAGTTTTAGCTTTAATTTGCATAGTATGAGTAAGGTTAAGCATCTTTTTCTATAATGTCCTCTCCTGTGAACTGCTGTTCGTATCCTCTGCTCATTTTTCTTGTAGGTTTTTGATATCAATTTCTAGGAGCTCTTATAAATTAGGAGGATTTAGTTCTTATCTTTGATACGCGATACACATGTCCAGGTTATCATTTGTCATTTGGTTTGCTTGTAGGGATATTCCCA